ATTTTTTTTTTTAAAAAGAAATGCATATATATATATATATATATATATTAATTGTTATTAATTCTTAATTGAATGATACCAATACAAAGTCGAAAGGAATAACAGTTTAGAAATATAAATGAGATTTATAGCAGTATCATATACTAAAAGTACATTTTTGTATTATATTTTTTGTGTGCCTAAAATTTCTATCTTTATAAAAGAGGCATTGTTTTATTTGTATTTCCTTATGCCTTATTCAACTAATCAAGAGGCAAGTTGATAGAACTGATAATTTTGAAGGTAAAAGGATTTAAAAGGAAGAAGGTAAAAGGATTAAGTGAAGAATTAAAGTTTTTATGCATTAAATACTCATAACTTTTCAAACTATTTAACCTAATTACTATGAGTTTGATGCACAATGATTTTTATTTCGATAAAGTCCTCCTATGACGGGTTTAGTCATCATCTCCTACACCAGAAAGCCTCCACACGGTTTTTATAAGTCGTCTGCGCAGACTATTTAAAACGCGAACCACTTGTGCGCATGATTCCAAATTCTATTTTAAAAATACTTGAGAGAAATTTTATCATATATATCTGAGAATTGAATCTGTAGTACAAGTAAATAAAACAAACCAATTATATTCAGAAATTAAAAAACAATTTAGACATATATTTGCTACCATTTTTTAATTTTTGATTGATTTCATATTAAATGGTTCTTTCACTAATTGGTTTACCTGCATAGTGGTCTGATAGTAGTGAGTTTAGTAGTGTAGTGACATCTGTGAATTAAAGTATTGAATATTCTGATTTCATTAAAGTGCCCCTATGACGTGTTCAGTTGAGCTGTGAATTTGAGAATTAGGGTAATGAAGACTCTGATTCATTAAAGTCCTATTGTAACTTATTTAGTTGTGCAGTAAATTTGGTGCATTAGAGTAATGAATATTTTTATTTCATAAAAGTTCATTAATTACCTATTTATTTATGCAGTGAATCCTGTGAGTTAGAGTAATGAATATTATGTCTTACCAGCAAATTGTGGACTCATGTCGACATGGCTCACAATGTAACCAGAATATATCAGACCGTTTAATCCAAACGAAAGAATGAATATAGCTATAATGGTCATTGGATGACAACCAGTAAATGCTACTGCAACGGCACATGATGCTGGCCCGAAAAAAGCTGAAATAAAGAAAAGAGAAATGAAAATTAAAAAAGGGAAGGAATAGATTTACTGAATCAAAATAATATATTTAAAAACAAAATATACGAAAATATTTGTTTTTAATTGTAACAAAATTGTATTTTATTATTAAATTGCGAAAATCTTTACATTAAAATCATTGAAAAGAAAGAATCAGATCTCGCTATTAATTACTAAAATACGGATGTTTTCCCATCAAAAGAAAAAAGAACATTCCTTTGGATCCCGTTCAGCAATCAGATGAACTCATGATAATATTTGTCTTAAGGAGTCAAACCAAGGCAAAAAGTCTGGAAAGCTTCTATCTTGCCTGCCAGTATTTATTATATGAGTGCCCTAGAATACAGTTCAAGTTCTTAAACCAAGATTGATTAAACTTGTAGGTTGAAAACTTGTTAACTTGGAGCTTGGAATGCTTGCTTGCTTTATTTAGTAAAACTGGGCTCTTGTGCTGGACTGTGACCCCTATCCCATAGATCATGAAATTAAAATATTGAGGTAAAAGCACTTTGAATTTAGCAACAGTGGGGTAGATATAAAAGAGCTTGGAATGTGTAAGCGATTATCCAAGTCCTTGGAAATTAGTAGAAGTAGGGATATGATCATTTCATTTTGTTGCCCGTTTTCTTATAGTTTGATTTAAACAAATTAATTTGTTAGTATCCATTTGTGTTATTGCGACTTCATTTTGTCATTTGTCTATCATGTAAGAATGATTTTATTATCTTAAATGTGAACAATGCTAATGTGCACATTTTTTTACCGACATCTTGGACCGTAAAAACAGACCTTTAGGCGAAGAAAAGATGTTTAATCTAAATGAATGTCCTGCAAGACAATTGTGTCCAGTCTCTAACCGAACTGGCTCAACAGAATAAAGTCTAAGGGCAACTGGAACATTTAAACGAGATTTCCTCCAGCACTTATCCTTTAGTTGATCCATACCTGCCAACTTTTACGCATTTGGCGTAAAATTCCATTTTCATATTTAAAGTGGTAGTAAATATATACTATTTTTTTCTTTTATAAACTTAATTTTTATATGATATTGATCACCACTATTCTCAAAAACATTAAGCACATGTATTAATATGTGTTACTATCATGGTAGTCAATTTAAGTTTTTTTCAAGTACAACGTATCTATTTGCTTAAAATTGAAATTTTAATTCCATTTTAATACCACTGGGAAAAATGATAAAGGAAGGGATTAAAAGTTGGCAAGTATGTTGATCTGCTGGCCTAGGTTGAAAGTCTTTATGCATAATAGTTAAATAAGGGATAGAATACCACTTAATATGTAAGAATCTGATTCCCTTTTATGCCAAATAAATCGGCTATTTCATTATATCATCCATAATTAACCGTGACCCTTTGCAAAATAACTTTTTTGTTTAAGTCTTACAAAATACTTAAGTTATCAATGCAATCCTAAATTCCTAGCAAGTGAGCAGACCTGCGAACTATGATGCCTGAATCACAGAGAATAAAACGATTTGAGTCTGACAATATAACGGAAAACTCATGCACCTAGAAATCAAATCGTGAGATGACAACCTGATAGCCTCCACCTCAAATGTTGTGGTAAAGGGACAAACGAAGAAAACAGAGTACGAACAAGTCAGAGAAAACACCTGCTCCCACATTTCGTTCTTTTGAAGCAGGCCTGAAAGCAAGACGAAAAAAAAGAAAACACTGGTAGTAAAGCTAATGCAATAATAGATAATTTTCGGGATGAGTAACTCTAGCCCTTGCAATAAGCAATTCACTACTATTAATTAATTCTCGGGGAATCTAAATTGTGATATCTAAATCTGATATCTAAATTGTGTCCGTTAAAAAAACTTGGTAGTTATAAATATTTTATTATTCCCAAGAAAAAGCGAAAAATGAAATTTATTAGGCAAAAGTTTTTTCTCTTTTCCGTCTTGATAACCTTCTTAACTTTCAGCCTTGTTGTGAAGGGCCCGGAGAAGATAACTGCAGAAATTTTCTGTGGTCATTCTCCTATTTTTAACGTCATTAGTTACCGTTGCCTAAGGGCACATTTTTCCAGATGAAGGGCAGATACTTCGTCATACCACATATCCAAGTCCAAGTTGTGAAGAGCGGGATCAATCAATAAAAATATGCAGCCTGTTAGAGGTGTCTCTATTGCTATAGATTTCAACTGGACTTCACTAGTTGTCTCAAGCACAGATTCACTCAAGTGGCCCTGATTTATCAGAAAGGCTGAGAGGTCTCTCAAATGTCTGACGTACCCTAAAAGTCACGAGTATTTTTGTCTTTTTCTTAAAGAATTGTCTATTATAATTATGAGGTAACAAAAATTGTTTTAAAAATATTTTCTGGAAAAAAAAACACGGCCAAACGAAATTTTCTGAAAAAAACGGCCAAATTTTTTTTATTTATTTTAATGTAAAAAACAAACTTTAGAAAAGAGGGGGGCGAGTTAAAGGAATGTGTGTATATGTAAATAGAGTCCAGATGATTAAAGTAGAGTTTAAAGTAGAGTCCAGATGATTACCACTCATGCCGGTTTGCACTCTACAGGGATAAGCTTACCCCAGATCAGACCCCGAGGGGTTGCTCTTTCACAGGGATAAGCTGATTGTTAGTGTTGATAAGTGTCAGTGTGATATCAGAAGTGTGCTAAGGATGTGATAACTGCAGCTGGATATTTTGGATAGCTCAGTGTTTGGCGCCACTAACTGATTCATCGCATCTGTGTTGCCCTATGCTTCCAGGTCATAAGGGAATAAGCTCATGCTAGTTTGTGATAACTGCTTAGACTAAAGTTATTTACGTAGTACCTGTCCGCGGACACTCCACTACTTCATCTAAAATAGTGCCCGTAAGATAATGTCGATAAAGTTCAAAAATTCAAGTCCTTGTTGGGGTTAGGCATGAGTTGGAGTAGAAGATCATCATTCTGTGGGGGATGACCCCTGGTGTGATAACATAACTGCATTAAAGTTTCATTTCATAAGATACTTTAAATTTTTAATAAGTAGTGGTGGAAACATTTCTTAAACCAGGGTTCCCACGAAGTGGAAAAGACAAAATGCGCCGGGGAAAGTGAAAATACTGGTACGGGAAAAGAGAAAATACTGGTAGAAGAACTATTTCAATATTAGATAATATTCGGGAGGAGTTAATCTATTCTCAACAATAACAATTCACTGTAAGGAAATTTATCACGGCGAAGAAGCAATTCAATATAAAAATTGCATCCGTTAAAAANGGGTGCCGGGCTCATGTCCAAGAGTTCGTGGGTTCGGTCCACGCCGGTCGAAGACTCCCCGTGTAGTGAATGGTGACTGATGGACGTTAAATCTGTCGAGTCTCAAAGTCTTCCATGCTCCCATAACAAATAAATACCTCTGGGGGTACCGATCCAGGAGTTTCCTTGTCTTCTGGATTGGTTCAAAATTACAGAGCTACGGCGTTGACCATTAGTAGTCGTAGTTATTTACGCAGTACCTTACGTAGTACCGGACACTCCACTACTTCATCTAAAATAGAGCCCGTGGGAGCCTAAGATAATGTCGATAAAGTACAAAAAACCAAGTCCTTGTTGGGGTTAGGCATGAGTTGAAGTAGACGATCATCATTCTGTGGGGCATGACCCTGGTGTGATAACATAACAGCATTAAAGTTTCATTTCATAAGATACTTTAAATTTTTAATAAGTAGTGGTGGAAACATTTCTTAAACCAGGGTTCCCACGAAGTGGAAAAGACAAAACACGCTGGGAAAAGGGAAAATACTGGTACGGGAAAAGAGAAAATACTGGTAGAAGAACTATTTCAATATTAGATAATATTCGGGAGGAGTTAATCTATTCTCAACAGAAACAATTCACTGTAAGGAAATTTATCACGGCAAAGAAGCGATTCAATATTAAAATTGCATCCGTTAAAAACAATTGGTAGTTATGGAATTTTATTATATTCTCGGAAAAAAACTAAAAAATGAAATTTATTGTTACCAGTTTTTACTAAGATGAGAAAATCTAGCGTGACCCACCGGTGGGTCACACCGGCTGAACGTGTTAATCTTTTATTTGTGAATTGTGAATCTTTTGTTTGTGAATTGAAATTTAATCTTCTATTTGTGAATTGCGAACCTATTTACGCGTTATTTTCTGCATCAAGGCGTATTTCCTTTAAATTACTTTTTATTTATAGTTTAAAACCACTAGATAAATATTTCTTTCGTTTCCACTTTAAATATTTTTTCAGACCATGGGAACCCTGTTAGATTGAATAAATGCAAAACTAAAAATAACTTGTTACCACTAGAAAATACTTCTACACAAAACGGAGCAAGTTGACATCTGCGAATCATTCTTTCTTTCTTTATTTAGCAAAAAATGGGTGTCAGGGCCACACAGCAGCCCCTACCCCATACATACAGTGATTTAAAACATTTTGATTTCAGCAACATTATGGTTAATCTGCGAAATTATAACTACTTACATATGGTGTTCATGATTTTTCTTATAGTGGTGATTTGGAGGCGTTCACTTTCTCTTAATTTATCAGCAACAAAACTGGCTGGCAATGCAAATATAATCATCATCATGTAGGGTAGACCAGAGACAATTCCATTCTGTTTAAATTAAATTAATTAAAAGAGCAGTTTTAAAAAATTAAGAATTCTAAGTAAGAAATTATATTACATTTATGAAACATTTTCCTCTGGAATGAATCAGAACAAATTATATAAAAACCCACTTTATATCTACGCATTATTAATATGTTTTAAGCTTTCAAACCTTAAATGATTTATTACTTTTATCTTGCCGACTGTCACGTGCCAGCATAAAACCATATCAACCAGGGTAAAAAGATAAAACTGGTGATCAAAGTATTTCTTTAGCAGTTTATTTGTGGGCTGAGTTATAATTGTTTGATTTATTTAATTCACCATTACTTTGTTCAAAATAAAACTATNTGCTAAAGAAATACTTTGATTACCAGTTTTATCTTTTTACCCTGATTGATGCGGTTTTATGCTGTCACGTACTTGTGACAGTCGGCGCGAAAGGGTTAATCTACGCATTATTAATATGTTTTAAGCTTTCAAACCTTAAATGATTTATTACTTTTATCTTGCCGACTGTCACGTGCCAGCATAAAACCATATCAACCAGGGTAAAAAGATAAAACTGGTGATCAAAGTATTTCTTTAGCAGTTTATTTGTGGGCTGAGTTATAATTGTTTGATTTATTTAATTCACCATTACTTTGTTCAAAATAAAAGTATTTAGTTATACTTGGAACTAACATTAATTATATATATGATTCGACTAACAATAATTAAAGTAAAAGCAAAGTAAGTCTGTCAAATTAGCAACGACTACATTTAAGTTACCGTTTTTTATTTAATTATATCCTGATTCTGATTTTGTATGAATGCTTTTCTGAATCACCCGTCCCCAAGGGGTTAAGTATGTTGCATTCAAGTTACAAATTATTATGTTTTAATAAATAAGTTTAAAAAAAATTTACTTTGTTAAAAATAAAATAATTGATATTTTATTTTTTTACTGTTTTTAATTAAAATATACGGATTATTTAAGAAAAATTTATAACTTAAAACTTTTTAATACAATAACTAAATTTTGTTTTATTATATAGTAAATATTTAAGGTTTTATTACGTTTTACTTTAAAAATGTAAGCAAAAGTATAATATTGCTAAAACAAACTTTTTTATTATTTTATAATTAAAATAATTAAATTTCCCCCAAAAATTTTAATTTAATATTTTTAATGAACTTAATGATTTTTTTTATTCTGAAATAAATAATTTAAATGTTTATTAAATTTAGTATTGAAAATGCAAACAATAGTACATTATTATACTTGTTAAAAAAATAAACTAAAAAGATAAAATAAAATGAAAAGAACTATTATTTACTTAAATAGATACCTTTTCTTTCACCTTTATTATTTTATTTATTTTAAATTTGCAATCATAATTATCATATACTACCAACTAAATTTGTAATTTTAATGAAATCATTCCCTAGTTGTAAAAAATGGTTAATAATAATAGCAATAATAAATAATAATAGCTATAGTATATAATACTAGTTTAAATACATAATTATAGTTATAATGAACAGTTTTGTTTAATTTTTTTTCTCATTTTTGAATAACTATGATAATATACTTTTTATATTTTCATAATTAAATTGAATTAAAACTTAAATTATTTATTTCAAAATTTAAAAAAATTCAGTTAGTTCATTAATTGCATTTAAATTACATTAAACATTAAAATTACATTTTTTATGCAAGTTTATAATGATTATAGTTAAAAAAAATTAATTAAAACTTCAATATGCATAAATTTTTTGTATTCAAAAATAAATTTTTTTCTAAAAAAATTATTTAAATTAAAATAAAATAATTTATAAATTGAATACAGCAAGCTCCACTATTCAACATTTTTGGGAATAGAAATTTAAAGATTAGTTTCTAACACCCCACATGGGAACTGACCTCTTTGGTTGCAGAAGCAGGAATGCGATTAAAATTGTCTTTAAGTGGTAGAAACCCTTATTAATTTTATCTCCTTAATTCTTCAATCGTAATTAACATCACGACTTGCATAGAAAGTTATTCATATTGATATTTCCTTCCATGACAAACTTTCAATAGTAAATTATCTGAGCTTTTCATATTTTTAATTTTTTATAAACGCAAAAATAATATTTTTTTAAAAATAAAGAAAATTGTTTATCTCAGAGACCTTATTAACCTATAAAAAATATAGTGTCAATAAAATAAGCATGAAATGAAAATAAATAAGCTATTCTTATCAATTCTAATTTTTATCTGAATTCAAGGAATCAGTTTAAGATATTTCTGATAAAATACCTGATTGGAATTTTAACGTGCCCCTTTCATGACGAGTGATATAATTTTCGAGCCGTGTGTCCACAAATAAGCTAATCTGAAGGAAATTAAAGAAATTTGTGTGCCTACTACAGCTAAAAATATGCTCCAACTTTGCATTAAAATATACTTACATCTTTCATGTCAAAATGCAAAACGTTGGATAGATATGTCGGCATCATAGTTAGCAAAGTGTAAAACGCCCAGTTTTGCCCAAAATGTGCCACAATAACTGCCCACATCGGCAACGATGTCCAAATAGACTTCCAAGGTACACTAATATTCTGAAATTAAATAGATATATTTTATATTAAACTATTATGTATCAACACTTTGTTCTATGAGCAAATTTACGTTAGAAAGAAAAGGCTTACTGAACTATTTTGTATCAGCATTCCGATCTATGAACAGATTTACATTACAAACGAAAAAAACTTTTATTTTGTAACATAAATTTTCAAGATAAATTACGAGAAAAAATTGATAATAGCTTAATTTTTATATTTTAAATAAGATAAAAAATAAATACTTAATCAAAATTCTTAATTAAATTGACACTTATTTCAATTTAAACTGAACTATTTAATATCAGTATTTTTTTTCATAACGAACAGATTAACAATACAAAGAAAAGCTTAAAGTGAAATGAATAAGTTTTCCTTTTATCACGTGAGTTCGGTTTTTCATATTTATCTTTTAAATAAAAAAAGAAAAAAAAAGTTAAAGCCTTATATTACCTAGTTCAAGTTGCGTCACCTCTGTCCCTACCAACCTTTGTGTCGCTTTCGATTTTGATTGGCCATCACCGATCATATGGGTAAACAGTCGCCATTTTGTTGACTAGATTGAACGGTGGAGTATCATGGTACTCAATCTGTTATTTCTATTTTCGCTTTAATTGTTTCATGCTTTCAGTTTCAGAATGTAGGTCAAAATGAAGTTAAAATTAGAGATTCATAAGTCAAAATTAGGCTTTAAATTATATTGCTTACCTGTTAGATACCGCAAGAAAAAAACGACGAGAAGTACATACGTAGAAAGTACTACATATAATTGGCATATAAAAGGGAAGTAATCAAAATTAGGTAGGTAGGATTATGCTTATAAAGTTGCTTTACAATTATTTTTTAAAGACTTGCAATTGAGTCGTGGCGGCTCAGGAGACAGAGCATTTACCTTCCAATGAGGTGAACCTAGCTCGAGAATACCATCGATTAATGGTCAATACGAATTCTGCACCCGGGACGTACCGATCACAGTGCGAAGGTAAAATAAGCTCAGTGGTAGACGGATCATAGGCTAGACCCCTCTTGTCATAAACTAACCGTAGGGTATATTTTCGTGGTTTTTGTCTCCATGTAACACAACAGCTGGTCTCAAAAAGTCCTTCAGGAAGGCAAACTTCTCCCAATGCTTGATCTAAGAGTTCCCTTGTTTTCTGGATTAGGTTCAAAATTACAAAGCTACTAAGATGAGCATTGGTAAGCGTATACCCAAAATTCGGCCTGATGTTCAACGACTGTTACATATATGTATATAAAAAAAAAACCTTACAAGAAATAAAAATATCATTGCACTATTTAGTTTTCACAAGTAAGGACTCATGTGAAAAGCATGCATAATTTTCTCAATAAATTCTAAAGAGATTTGTATATATTTTTAAAATAATTTTAGCAAATGGATAAAAAAATTAAATTGATAGCGTAGGAAAAAGTAATACAAATTATGAAAATGAAATAGTAAAGAAAGTATAGTACGTTTTTATTACTTTGGTAATTCTTTCTACATTTGCAGCAAGGTTAAAGGTTATTAAAAGACACTAGATAATTTTATCTTAGGTTAGATAGATTATAATTTCATTTAATTAACTTTCATTAGATGATCAATATATAAATTATTATATAACTATCATTAAAACGTAATAGCAAGGATTTCAAGAGTGAAATTTTTGATTTTTTTATAAAGATCAAACAAAATCTGATCAAAGATACTGGGTATTTTACGTTTGAAATTATTTAGATTATAATTCATTTAATTAACTTTGTTTAAGTTGTTAACTTACTTTAGACTTCACAGTACTTGTGCCTTCNATTTTGTATCAGCACTCTGATCTATGAACAGATTTACATTAGAAACGAAAAAAACTTTTCTTTTGTAACATAAATTTTCAAGATAAATTGTGAGATAAAATTGAATAGCTTAATTTTTATATTTTAAATAAGATAAAAAATAAATACCCAAAATTGGGCCTGATGTTCAACGACTGTTACATATATGTACATAAAAAAAACCTTACAAGAAATAAAAATATCATTGCACTATTTAGTTTTCACAAGTAAGGACTCATGTGAAAAGCATGCATAATCTTCTCAATGAATTCTAAAGAGATTTGTATATATATTTAAAATAATTTTAGCAAATGGATAAAAAAATTAAATTGATAGCGATGGAAAAAGTAATACAAATTATGAAAATGAAAAAGTAAAGAAAGTATAGTATGTTTTTATTACTTTGGTACTTCTTAATACATTTGCAGCAAGGTTAAAGGTTATTAAAAGACACTAGATAATTTTATCTTAGGTTAGATAGATTATAATTTCATTTAATTAACTTTCATTAGATGATCAATCTATAAATTATTATATAACTATCATTAAAACGTAATAGCAAGGATTTCAAGAGTGAAATTTTTGATTTTTTTATAAAGATCAAACAAAATCTGATCAAAGATACTGGGTATTTTACGTTTGAAATTATTTAGATTATAATTAATTTAATTAACTTTGCTTAAGTAGTTAACTTACTTTAGACATCACAGTACTTGTGCCTTCTTCAATGTTAATTAATTCACTTTTAGATATTCATATGTAGGTATACTGGATATTTTACGTTTGTAATTATTTAGATTATAATTCATTTAATTAACTTTGTTTAAGTTGTTAACTTACTTTAGACTTCACAGTACTTGTGCCTTCTTCAATGTTATTTAATTCGCTTTTAGATATTCATATATAGGTATACTGGATATTTTACGTTTGTAATTATTTAGATTATAATTCATTTAATTAACTTTGTTTAAGTAGTTAACTTACTTTAGACTTCACAGTTATATAATTCGCTTCTCAATGTTATATAATTCGCTTTTAGATATTCATATATAGGTATACTGGATATTTTAAGTTTGTAATTATTTAGATTATAATTCATTTAATTAAACTAGTTTAGGTAGTTAACTTACTTTAGACTTCACAGTGCTTGTGCCTTCCTCAATGTTAATTAATTCGCTTTTAGATATTCATATATAGGTATACTGGATATTTTACGTTTGTAATTATTTAGATTATAATTCATTTAATTAACTTAGTTTAAGTAGTTACTTACTTTAGACTTCACAGTACTTGTGCCTTCTTCAATGTTAATTAATTCGCTTTTAGATATTCATATATAGGTATACTGGATATTTTACGTTTGTAATTATTCAGATTATAATTCATTTAATTAACTTAGTTTAAGTAGTTAACTTACTTTAGACTTCACAGTACTTGTGCCTTCTTCAATGTTGATTAATTCGCTTTTAGATATTCATATATAGGTATATTGGATATTTTACGTTTGTAATTATTTAGATTATAATTCAGTTAATTAAACTAGTTTAGGAAGTTAACTTACTTTAGACTTCACAGTACTTGTACCTTCTTGAATGTGGATTAATTCGCTTTTTGATATACGAGGATGGTCTTCTGGGTATTCATAGATAAGTACTGTCCATAATACAAACCATATGCAACCAACAAAACCTAAAGATAAGAATGAAATTAAAAAATTCCAAGAACAATTACACTTACGAATAGACAACACATGATGGGCAGAGTCTCTTCGGTGTTTTAATTTCTCTGTAAGTAATTGTCCTCATTTTTTATTAATATTTTGGATAAGCATTGGGAACGTATTGAATTTTGCTTGCTTGTGTATGTGCATGTGCATGGTCGCTGGGAGAGGCAGAGGATGGACAACCACGCTTCTTTATTCTTAATCCATTATTTTTTCTGCTTGTAACAAAATTGTGGCGAATATTTATATGGAATCCGTACATAAAATAAGCAGAAATATCAATACATATTTTTTTATACAGGCAAAAATATTCGGATTTATTTATTTATTTATTAAGTAACTTAATACAGTGAAACCTCCATGAAAGAGCGGCTCTATTTATGACCACTTTTGGGAGGGTTGGAATTCTTTCCATAGACTGTGTGTTGAAAAATAGCCTTTAGAAGAGACCATTAAAACTTCTCCCCAGGGGTGAAAGCGAGACGGAAAAGAGGAAAGGCTGGTAGTAAAACCATTTCAGTTATAGCTAGTTTTGGGGAGGAGTTTACTTATTCTTTTTTTAAATTTTTAAACAATATCTATTTTATCTTGGAAAAGAAGCAGTTTTATATATATGCCAGAATTATAAAAGAAATCTTGATAGTTACAGATATTTCATTTTTTTCGAAAAAAATGCTGGAATGAAATGTTTTAAGTACCAGGTTTTTCTCTTTTCCGTCTTGCTATATAAGGGCTTTCACCCATGCTTCTCCCACCGACCAGGCGATCGTCCGCATCAAATGCGGAAAAGATCATATGAGAAAACACGACAAAATATCAGATCAAAAAATTTAGCAAAACAAAAAGGTAGATTAAAATGTTTTCACAATATTTGTGTGAGGCTATTATTTAGGGAGCTCTTTTTGTCGATGCAACCTAATATCGTTATGAGAGTACTCTAAAGACGATGCTATCAATAATTTACTTTTAGAGTTGAAAATTAATTAGAAAAAAAAGTTATTTTAGAAAAAACAATAATCTTAAACAAAAAAAATAACCTCTTCTCATATTTTAAAAGCTTATTTTTGTGATATTAAATTAAATGCAAATTTAAACAAGCAAAAAAATGCATAGTTGTTTATTTATCTAAAATAGTTCAATCTTTCCTAATTGGTAATTTTTTTTTTTGCGCATAAGTTGGTATCATTTTTACAGACGTTAAATTTTATTCTATTCATCGTTACGTCTTTTCATGACACCAATAGAATTGACATTTCCACACCAAAAAACCGCGAATGGAGAGTGGTCGCCCGAGAGGTTTCACTGCACTGAGTCATCACCTCCTACATCAGAGAGCCTCCACACGGTTTCTTATAAGTAGTCTGCGCAGATTATTCAAAAAGCGACCCACTTGCGCGCAAGTACCCAAATTCTATTATAAAAGTACTTCAGAGAAATTTTCCATATATATTTGAGAATTGAATCTGTAGTGGTTGACAAGTAATTAAGACGAACTAATTGTATTCATAAATGAAACAAATTTTTAGACATATATTTGCTACCACTTTCTAATTTTCAATAGATTTCATATGAAATGGTTCTTTCACTAATTGGTTTAGCTTTCTTGTGGTCTGATCGGACAAAAAACCGCGTGGAGGTTTTCAGTTATAGGAGGCGGTGATTGAGTTCTAACAAAATTACTATTGTTATGCAATCTTTTATCACTGATATTCACATTAAAATCCTTCATTTGCATTTCGGATGTCCAGGAGTCCAGTTTTATATCAAGACCAGTCCTAGTGGACTGGCTGTAAAATTCAAAGTTAAAAACAAAAGGAGCGTTGCGTTTCACTTATGTCAGACGGTGTTGGACGTGGTTTTGTATTGTAAAAGAAGTTCTGGACAGGTTTTATTTGCTTTTTTTTTTGCTAATGAGAACTTTTTTTTGCTTTTTTTTCTCCATAACATTTGAATGATATCAATACCAAATATATTGATACCAATATCTAATAAATGTTTTGCAAACAACTAAGCTACTGTTACCAAATAGATAAAAGACAGACGGCCATCCTCCTAGAAATGAGCTTTCACACAATATTCCAGTAAGCATATTAGCAGAAATAGTGCCAACCAGTACACCCATAAACATAGCAGTCTGAATGCGGCTTCTCTCCATTTTTGGCACCCATCGGCTGATTAAGACATTCATTGCTGGAAATGCTGCTGCCTATATGAAGACATCATTCATTATGCAGATTTGAATATTAGAATAATGTCACAAAACACTTACAAAGGGTTTTAAATTAGACTAACGGTTTTCAAATGTAAATACCAGGAAAATTTACATCTTGATATAGATCTTTATTACTTAAAAAAATATGAAGATTCTGAGTGCTCAAAATAAACGTCTGTGCTCAAGACTTGCTAGATGTGAAGGAGAAAAATCAGTGGGGTAGAAAGTTAAAATTAATAGATGGACAACCACTTTTCTTTCCTCTTATTCACGTCTGGCGAGTCTGGAGAATGGGTGCTAATTTTTTAACATATTGACTCTTACTACCATATTTTCATATATATTTTTTTTTAAAGAAATAAGATTTATATCCTCAAGTATATTTCTTAGATTTATTCATTTAATAGCAAAATGGTTAAAGTTGAAAGAAAAATAGTGCGTGGAGTCCCTCCGCGCGGAAGAAGTTAAACTTCGTAACCTGCGACGTTAATTGTAGAAGCAGTCGTAGAAGGATCACTAGTTCTATTCAACGACTCTTTTTTCTGCTCCGCTCGCTTCCATGCACTGTAATAACAGTAATATTGCGCATTTTTCCCTCGTGGACCTCTTGAACCAGTGGAAGTGCTTGTGGTTGCCTCATCGTTTCGCCATGGAAAATGTATTTGCATTAATATTGTATGTGAATGCGTCGTAATGTAATTTCAAAAGAGAAAGCCTAACAATCAATTGATATTCACAAGAGCCGTTCCTTGACATAACCTTAAATCCGTCGCATTGTCCGTGGGATTGTTTTCACTCATTTTTTACAATTGTTATCCACTAAATTTGAAAATAGAAAATACTATCCTATTAAATTGTATGTGTATCAAATCAAACTAAAAAAATATTTATAGAAAAACAATACTTTTATGCTAGTGAGAACCAAAACAATATGGAAATGAACGAGGGAAAACTGGATCCTACAACGTGATTTCCCGGCCAATAAAAATGTAGCGTTAAACGTTTAACTTAACCTTGTTGGAAGTCGCATAAGAAATATAACTTCAATAAACTATTGTATTACATTCATGCGATACGGCATAAACTTTTCTTATTCCTACTAGTTTATGTCAGAAAATTTTTCATAATTGTCGCTGCAGATAAACCAATAAATAAATAAAAAAAAAAATAATGATGTGGCAGTATGCTGCTTTACGAGATTTGATTGCAACTGATGGTGAATATTTCAAAAAATGCTGCAATGCAGCTTTCATTCAATCAAAGATTTTAAAAAGAAATATTGACTAAGACATTAGCTAACTGCAGCCCTATCAGCAATTTTTTTTAGATTTTTTCCAACTTTAACCGTATTTCTGTTATAATTGTTTTTGAGTATCGCCAGTCTAGTCTAAGATACTATGTAGGAAGAGTATAAACACTTTGTCATACGCGAAGAATATTGAAGTTTTTCGAATTTAAAAGGTTTTAAAAAGGGTTAAAACTTGAAACCTAATAAAGCAAAATTTAAATCGATCTACCAAAATATAATAGTACTTCATTTATGTCACATTAGAGCTGAACAATAGGCTATTGGCGACTGTCAGATAAACATCTCGGAAGATAATTTGAAGACATGCTATTACGATTGTGATCATCTGTGGAAGGGATGGCTTCCTCGCTTTGGTAGCCAGACGATCTGCTCGCAAGTCCAGCACTTTACGGTAAAACAATTTGACGAGGACCTATACCGAGTAAACTAGATGCCTTTGCTGGCAGATTAGAGTGGTCACCCACCCGCACACCGACCGCAACCCCCTTGACTTTGGTGTCCAATTGCGAACCATGTCTTATTGTTAGTCCTCTAACTATTACGTATATTTCGAATATCCTGTAGGAAAATAAAATATAGATAATTTAAATGTAATGCATTGTGAAGCATACTGGAGTAGGAAAGAAAGGAAAAAAAAACATTTAGTAAAATTTTTAATGAAATTTAGTGAGCAGTATCTTTTTATAAAGGTAGGTAAATAATAAATAAGTATTTTTTTACATTTTAAAACACTTTTTTTCTGTTTAAATTTGTTTCGAGCAAAAAGCAGACCAGATCGAATAAACTGCTGACTTTAAGCAAGTCTATGACAAACTTAGAAAGCGAGTAGTGCACTGAAGAGGCAAAAAAACTGGTATACCTGCCTACTATCGCGTAGGGTACCCGCGAGTACGCAGAAGCGCCGCAACACGACGTGGCATGGATTCGATCAATGTGTGAAGTAGTGCTGGAGATAATTGACACCATGAATACTGCAGGGCTGTCCATAAACCAGTGGGGGTAAGAGGGGGTGGGGATATCTTCTGAACATCACGTTGCAAGGCATCCCAAATATGTTCAATAAAGTTCATGTCTGGGGATTTTGGTGTCCAGCGGAAGTGTCTAAATTCAGAAGAGTGCCGCTGGCCACCAAAATCCCCAGACATGAACTTTATTGAATATATTTGGGATGCCTTGCAACGTGATGTTCAGAAGATATCCCCACCCCCTCTTACTCCTACTTATGGGCAGCCCTGCAGGATTCATGGTGTCAATTATCTCCAGCACTACTTCACACATTGCTCGAATCCATGCCACGTCGTGTTGCGGCGCTTCTGCGAACTCGCGGGTACCCTACGCGATAGTAGGCAGGTATACCAGTTTTTTTGCCTCTTCAGTGTAGTTAGATTTATTTCAACTTATAATAAAACTGTCCTATATGCAAATGTTTATAGATGAAATATAAATTTTTATCGCTGCATTTTTTATGACGCTTAATCGTTTTTCGCATGATGAATAAACGATTAAAACTTCTTTTTATTTTTTTAAGATTTTTTGGCTGAAGCTACAGTGAAATTTTGATATTAAAATATTTTATTTAAATCATTATTTTGTAAACTATATTTCAAAACTTTTTTATGCAATTTTCTTAACACTTTCACCTTTAACATAATGTTTTTAAACATAACAAAAAATTCAAAAGCTTTTATTTTGCATTTGAGTATTTAAATAAGAGTGCTTTCAGACAAAATTCTTCCAGATATTTTACACCATAAGAACAATTTTCCTAGGTCAATAAAGCTAGTCGATTTTAACGTCGAAATATATTGTCTTTACTTTATAAACATAGGTTTAGTTACACATTATCAGAAATAAAAGGTTCCTTTAATCTTTCGCTTCCACTTTTTAAATTTTCCTGATTGTAGCCACCCTGTTTTAACAAAATTGATACCAATTTTTAATATATTCTAGCAGCTTAAAAACCCTGCCTCCTTATTTAATTCTTCTCATTTATTTCAAAAATGCAGACCTTCATATTCACCATCTACTTTCATGTTTGTTTGAAGTAAATATCTCAATATACTCGAAAATGATCAGACTGCTTTTTTTTATACTCTAAATGTGATAGCTGATAATAGAAAATATCCATTTCGTTGTCCATTCGGTCACGTCATTGCTTATTGAAAATGTTGGCGTCATTGAAATACTGTTATGTATTATTGGAAGTCCTTAATATGTTGTATCTTTTTTACGAAAATAAATTAACGGTCACACAATTGATTTATTACTACAGAAATTTATTACTACCATTATGTATTGCTAATTAAATTATTCATAATTTGATATTAATCTATGTCACACTGTTTCGTCGAACTTAAAGTGGTAGGTAACAGAAGGAAATATCCACTAGGTATAAATATATATGTATAACTTATTATTTCAACTTTGTGAACTTATCAAGCAGTTATGTGTAAATATCTAGGAAATGTCTCCACTTTTTTCTACTTCCGAAATTTGCTACTTCTTGAAAAATAGACCATCAACTTTATGAGCTACTTTCACATCTCAACTATTGACCAATTTTTCTGTTACTGATATAGTATAGAATATTATTTTGTAAATTATTCTATCCTATATTTGATACAGAAGAATATTTTACAATCAGTAAAGTAGTATTATTACTACTTACTCCTGCCATTCCTTCCACAACTCTCACAGCAATCAATAACCAGACACTCAATCTGGCCGCAACAGGTGTCAATAAAGTGAACACTGCATGAGCTAACACTCCTACTCCATAAAACCATTTTCCGCCATACTTTTCCGCCAAAACACCTCCAGGTATTTGAGTTATAAAATAACCATAGAAAAAGGAGCCAATGACTTGACCTTGAACATCAGAATCCCAGTCGAATTCGCCAATAATCTAAAATTGATTAAGGTTTATTTTTACAGAGGCAACAAATTTCTATTTAACTTAATATACTAAAAATTTTATCGAACCCCGATTCCTTGTTCTTGCATCATTCATTTTTTCCGTATACATCGCCTGATTTTATTTGTCCCGTGGAAGATTTTCTAATCCAGCAGCGTTTTACGCTGTTTTTCGAAGCTTTGTCGCCAAATGAAATAAAAAAAAAAAAAGCCATTGAGCTTTATTCTCAGTTTTTGCAAATTTTTATGAGCCTAAGTAATGCAAAATTGGAATAAATTTTAAAATATTAAACAATTAGACCACAAACGCTTTTCATTTTCATAAAACTATGTTTTTTCTCTATATCAACGTTTTGGGTCATTTTCAAAATAAAGGTAAATAGCGCTGGCTTTAGATAGGCTAAACATGACCTGACAGTCATGAGTATTAGTAGCAAACTCACAGCTGTTATAAAAATAGCATATTATTCGCAAATAAAGAATCATTTCTTATCACGACATGGTTTCGAAAAATTGTCTTTTAACGATCTGCACCCCTGTTTAGCATTCTTTTAAATATAAAAAAAAAACTTGATTCTTGTCATTGTTTCATTTCGGGTAACAGATTTCCTTCCTTTTTCTTAAAAAAAAAAGAAAATAAATAAAAGCTTGCATTATATTTGGGGCCAACTACAGCTAAGATTAAAATCTCAAAAAAAAAAAAATAAAAAAATAAAAAAATAAAAAAAATTAGTTGTTAAAGGTCACTGGATTGTAAATTAGCGTCTCGTTACAAATTCTATTCTCATAAAGTTTTTAATACCCGTATCGATGGTTTTAGAAATAGTAAAAATATTTGAAACAAAATTTTAATCTTCATGTAAAATACGAAGTTAAGTCTATGATTGAATTTTCAGATTAAAGAAATGTAATTGTGTTTATAATTTTTATTGTTTATAATGGTAGATAGTCAATTTTGAGTTCTGTTTATTTAATGATCTTAGAAATCGAATAGTTCTATCTTACTATAGTACGATACTATAGAAATTTATTTTTAAATAAATTAAAGCTGCCACGACTTAACGCTTAAGCTTTTTTTTCTAAAATTAGGAAAGAGTTAATTCAATCATAATAATTTAATGATAGCGAATAATATTATTTATTTATATTAAAAAAGAAAAGTGGTAGTTACACATTCATTTAATGCAGTTGTAATTTCAATTTTTGGGGAATTTGAAGGAAAAAAATTGCTAAAACAATCAATCAATTTAGTTTTTGATGTCCACACAGAAGTAATTACAGTTATATACCATTTTACAACAGTTGCGTTAACCGTATTGGATTAAAACTCGTTTGGTGGCTGTAAGAATTATATTGTAATATGTAATAAGAACTTGTTTTATTATTTTTGAAAAGAAATTGTAAGATTACCAAAAAAAAAGAATTACAATTACATTAAGAACCATTAGATTAGTGTCAAAATAGTTATTAGAAATCCAAAAAGTATAAAATACAAAATGGCAGCGTTAGAAACGTTAACGTAAATCTTTTAGCAAAATCCTCAAATATAGTTCACATAAAAAAATAGTGATCGCTTTGTTACGATCACTGGTCCATACCTGCCAACTTTTAATCCCTTCCATTATCACTTTTCGCAGTGGTATTAAAATGGAATTAAAACTTCAATTTTAAGCAAACAAATACGTTGTATTTGAAAAAAATTAAGTTGACAACAAATATTAAAGCATATTAATATATAGGTTTAATTTTTGTAACAATAGTGGTGATCAAAATCATTTAGAAATTAAATTTATAAAAGGAAAAAGTAGTATATATTTACTACCACTTTAAATATGAAAATAAAATCTCCCGCAAAATCCGGGAGAGTTGGCAGGTATGCTGGTTACCCATTGGTCAAATGATTTTTTTTTTCAGGATTAAATCCGATAAACGCATACATTTCAAATCATGGGCTGCAAAAACTGTTTCAATTGATGTTATTCGTCGGATTGGTTTTCAAATCCCGCCTATATACGTGTTTCAAGACGTCACCTTACTTCTCCAGTATTCGAGGGGAGAGTCGGGTAGCCTCGCCCACTTAAGGAGTATTGCTTATATTTCTGTATAATATTGAGTAATAATCAATATTTTTGTATGTTTCTATTATTTTATCATCTAATTAAATAATGCAAAAAAAAATAAACCAAAAAAAGAATAGTTTAACTTAAAAAAATAGAAATTAAAAAAAACATGTTTTTCAGCTCTTTTCAAAATGTGTCTGGTAGCCCCGCCCAGTAACAAAAATCATGTTTTTTGACTGTTTTTTTTTTTTCAGGTATAAATTAAAGTGACCAATGTATTGACAATAGATAAACCTCATTTATCATTTTTGTCACAAAATTATTTTATTTATTAAATATTTATATACTTTTAGTGAATTCTCTCATTTAATAACAATCTTTTAATAACAACAATATTTGTTGTTAAAAATGATTATAACATTCAAATTTGAAGCAATAAAATAATAATCTTTGCAACCGTACATTTATCAACGAAATAAAATTGGGCGGTGATACCTGACATTCATGTGAGCGGGGCTGCCCGAAATTCAATTTTTTTGTAAATTTGTAATTACTCGAACAATTTTTCAAAAATAAACTTCTTTCTTCGTGCAAATTAAACCTAAGACTACATACTTTAATGCTGTATGTATAGAAAAAATTATTTTTTTAGTATTAAAATGAAGTTTAATCGAAACATTCAACCAATTTTTCTTAATTTCATGACTATTGTATTCAACATATTTTCAAAACTATTGTTTACCATGTTAACAGCTGCATAAATACTTGAAACTTTGAAAATAATCTTTCTTTAATATAACAATTAATGTCCGATGGCCCATTGATTTGAAAAAATATTCTATACTTATGAAATTGACTGTGGGCGGGGCTACCCGTCTCTCCCCTGTATTAAAATCACCGTCAAGACAACTAATATAAGTGAATAACAAAGAGAATATAAAAATGCTTTAAATTAGTATTGTGTAAATACATTAAAAATGCCTGCTTTTGAAAAATAAAACTGCAGCGGTCGCCATAGTAACGCATGCTTTTATTACTCTAGAAACGTTTACTATTACTCTAGAACACAATTGAAAAGTGTGTGAACGCCATCAAATCGAAACCAAGACCCATTTGAAAATGGGTAAAATATTATTGCAGATATTCAAGAAGAGCAAAAGGATACCAATGCGAAGGATAATTTTAAACATCAGTTGAAATAATTTATTTGTAGTAATGGACAAAAATTGTTTTGAACTAAATTTATAATATTTATTTATACAATATTTTGTCTCCATTTTAAAAATATTGATACCGATGAGAAGGAGAATTTTACACATCTGTTAAAATAATTCATTTGTAGTAATGGACAAAAATTATTTTGATTTTAATTTATAATATCTATTTATACAGTACTTTGGATTTCCTGGAAATACGGATATTTCTAATTTAATTATGATATAAATGGAGGGTATGCTGGACCACATTAGTAGTTTGAACTTTAATATGTTAAGTGCAAATATCTATTATTTAAATGCAAAAAAAATCAACTATAAGTTTTTATCGAAAATTAGTTCAACCTTTATCTAAAAATATAAATGCTGACTTATTGTAAATAATTTAATTAAAAAATATCAACTTTCGATTTTTCTTTTTGCACTTTAAGGATTTTCACTTAGATGCAAACTATTATTAATATAATTATCTCAATTTTGGTCTTAAATTATTAATCTATGGCTTTTGAAACTGAAAATGGTCAATAATAATCGAAGATATTTATTTTTTTATATAAGTATGTCGGGTTATTTGATTTTTTCCGTGAAATATACAATCTATGACATTATTCATTTTTGTGCAAAATATAAAAAATAATGAATAACTTTGGGAAGACAAAGAATAACTATAGGATTTCTTTCCGTTGCATGAGATTTTTAAATTGAAAAAATCGGCTTCTCCTCTTAATGATGCAGTTTTTATGCAATTTAATTATCTAATCTTAACCAAGATCTTTTTTTAAATTTCTTGCAGAGCCTCTAAAAATTTAACAGTCACCGAGCACCTTTAAGATTGGAAATATTATGTACTTTTTACTATATTGAACTTTATTTCTCAGTTATATACTGTAAGTAGTAAATTGAGTGACAAAATAAAACTCTTCAAAGTTTAAATTTAATGCAAACATTTAATGCTTTTATTTTTGCTTTTAATTCTCTTTGTAAACAGAAATAGCACTAATGAAAATAAAGTGAAAATAATTTCAAGGTAAATATTGCTGATCCACAAATCGTAATTTTATTAATATGGCTCTTTATCATTAACACGTTGAATGCCATAGGGGTCAGCGGTGACCGACACTGAGTTCGTTCGTAGCGCCACGGTGATCACCGGTGACAGACGAAGGCAAGATTATTAGAAACACATAATTCGAGTAAATGTTTAATTTTTATATTTAATTATCGTTGCTAAAATGGTTTGAAGAAATTAATGCAATATACAACACACGAAAATAGTTTTATTTATATACACAGAAATGCCAGCTTGCTCGCGACCGCGAATAAATATTTTCGAATGGTAGTTTATTAATTGTGATTCTTGGTTTAATAAATTCAATTTAGTATATTTTTATCACCCACAATTTCTAAGCAAATTGCAGGTTTATATCAACGCCTCCTATAACTGAAAGCTTCCACACGACTCCTTAGTCCGATCAGACCACTATGAAAGTAAACCAATTTGTGAAAGAACCATTTAATATGAAATCTATTAAAAATTCGAAAGTGGTAGAAAATATATGTCTAAAAATTTGTTTAATTTATGAATATAATTGGTTTGTTTTATTTACTTGTCAACCACTACAGATTCAATTCTCAAATATAGGGTAAACCAACCAGTGAAAGAACGCTACCACAGTGAAGGAACATTTCATATATATAGATTAAAAATAAGAATTTGAAAGTTTTTCTTTAGATTGATTGGTAACAATAGCTTACCGCCAAACAATAAGAAGTCATCTAGCAATATTTTGAATTACCTGGTCAAATAGACTTCCCTGGAAAAAATTTTGAATTTGTTATCTCTGCAACACCTTGTTTCTTTGAAAAAATTATAAGGTGAGTGTTTGTATTTATATGTTTGAAGTGGAATTAATTGCATGTAATAGTTTTATTTTTCTCACTGTGAAAAAGAGAATTCAAAATATAATTATTGAAATTACGTTTTATTTTTTTGTAAGCATCATAGCATAATAAAGTACTGAGATAAGGGGGTGTTTATTCACGTGATCACCAAACGTTGAAAAACCAGTGAAGGAACAAATGTTCCTTTACTGTTTTTTTTTTTAAGTTAATGAAAATAAAAGATAAAATTTTATTTTCTTGTACCTTTAGTGATGTTCCGCATCAAAAGTATGTTAATACGAAAAACAACTTCTAACCAGTGAGGGAGCAGGCATGTTCCTTTACTGTGCATAGATTTCCCAGTGAATGAAAAGTATGTGTTAATATGTTGACACTTTAATTTTCAATTCATGATTACAAAAAAAATTTAACATTTTCCAAGTATTTATATGTTATAATTTAAAGAATAGGCTTGTTTTTAAATATTTGTATGGCTTATAAATTCATAAAGAGCATTAAAAAATAACGAAAATTAAGTGTTCCTTTACTGGGTGTTCATTCACTGGTATGAGCTGTTCCTTCACTTGGTCTTCTTACTACTTGTTATTTGAACCTCCAAAACTTTAAAACAATATTATGTAAGTTCTCTACAATTTTTTTTACATAATTTGCAATTAGTAAAAAATATGTTGACACAGTCATCTAATTTAAATTACGAATTTTGAAATTAATATGATTTTTTAAAAGCAAGCGAAGCTTAAGTGTTCCTTCACTGGTTAGTTTACCCTATATGATAAATTTCTCTCAAGTACTTTAAAAATAAAATTTGGGTTCATGCGCACAAGTGGTTCACTTTTTAAATAATCTGAGCAGACTACTTATAAGAAACTGTGTGGAGGCTTTCTGATGTAGGAGGTGATGTTTATATTCGCAGGTCAACAATTCGCACCACTTTTACTCGATATGTCATGCTAAACCTTTTAAAAAACTAGAGAAACCTGTCTAATATTTGCAAATTTATTAGTTATTTACGTCTGTGGCCAGACGGGCAAGCTATGTAGAAATAGCGCGGCAATCATCATGTCAATAAATAAGTTTATATTTAGTTACGTATGCACAACATTTAATGGAAAGGAAGGTTTTGTGCTGATCAGCAATATGCGAAAAGTGTTGTCCGGTGGTGAATTTCATCATGAATTTGACGAAAAACACAAATGCAGGTGAATTGAACAAAAAACTGACATATTACTAAATGCTGACTTTCTTTTTATGTAGTGAACGTTTCCTCGTAACGGGGATAAACAATTACCACTTGAATTTTTTTCCCCTTTCCCTCAAAGAGCGCAATATTTAAATAGTTTTTCGAATTTTTTCATAAAACAATATTTCAATTTATTATTTGATAAATTTTCCTGGTCACTTATAAAACGTATCGGGTTGGACAAGAGTATTTGGATGAAGGTAAGAGGATTAAACTAAAGTTTTTTTTAAGTCAACTCACCATTTCGGCGTTTTCCAAGGATTGGTTTTTTGTAATCACCAGCTCTGGACAAGTGACCATTGTTTCATTGCTACCATTCGTTGGTCGTTGGTTTCCAACCATGGCAACCATTGCCACACTTAAGTTTACTCTCATGGCGTAGAGATTGACGTGACCCAAGAAGCCGAGAAAAGTCAGCACTAGACGAGCCGGAATTACTGAAAATAAATAACCGATTTCATTTATTAAAATGTATGCAATCATAAAAATGATTTCGATTAATATTTTTAAATTATTATAATACACAACTAAAATTTTGAAATCTATGATATTTTTAATTTTGCTGATATTTTAAGTACGATTTGTGACAGTTTCGTTTTAAAAGGATGGTTCCTTTTTCAATAAAGAAAAAAATATATATTTTAAATATATAAAATCTAAGACTAGTGCCTCTTTTAAAACAAAATGTTTGGGTATAGAACAAATATCCACATTAGAAGATTTCTTTATTTCGTAGCAACTTAAATTTCTGAAGTTTACATATATTTCTATACATAATGTAAGATTTTTGAATTATTTTATATTTTACAAACAACCGAACCAATTCCGAATTTACGGCATCGGGACAGACTAGTCTTTGTGAAGGACTTTTTAATGGTACTAGCTCGCATTTGCGTTACAGGAAGGGGGAAACAGCGAAAGCCTTCCATGGTCAGCCAACGACAAAAGGATTCTAACCCATGATACGTCGACCACTGAGCATATTTTTGCGTCAGCACTGTGATCGATGCGAGCCAGAATTAGAATTAGTGTCCACCAGCCTTCGCTAGAATTTCACCTCATGCTCTAAAAATCTGGAGCTAATGCTCTACCCCTTGAGCCACCGCTCAGTTTTTAAATCATTGTAAAGATATATTTTCAAGGTCAAGAAACATATTTTATGACATAAATTTTGCTGCAACATTAAAATGCTTAACATACTCTCCGGAACCCTGATTTATTAAAAATGGTTTATACTAGTTCCTTTCCGAAAGAACGTCTGTTAGTTAAGTCTTTTAAATATTTTTGCTAACGCTTTTAATTTTCAACATGAAATTGTTTCAAAAATGAATAAATACTTTATTTTCTTCGAGAAACCATAATTAGATTATTGTGGGAAAATATTGAATTTAAATAAATCAAAACTCTTGGAGTGGTAAGCTGTATCACATTTTATTTTGGTAAAATTTTTTAAACGCTACATTACATCTTGAATCACATACTTCATATAAAGTTCATATTGAAGAACACTAAATTGATCTGTTGTTATTGTTTTTTCTAATGACATTTGGATAATCCAAGCTGGCTAGCAATTGGCCCTTTGCGAATTACCACATAGCAAAGGGGACATGTAAAAATGCGTTTTTGAAATTTGTGCAATTCATACAAAAGTTTAAAAAAGTGGTAGCAAAATTACTTCGTAAGCTGTTTTGTTTTTCAAAGAAATTATCCATTCATGATTACTAAATTATCATTACATAATCATTCATTTTTAAAAACAGGACATTTATTTTATACTATCTACTTCCCAAATTTATGCCTGCCAACTTCTATATGCTTTCTGCAATGTATTTTACAGAGTGATCGACATTTAAAAATCAAAGCTTTCGGAATTTTTGGTAATTCGTCAAAATTTTAAAAGCCTCTCCACGAAAGTGCTGGAAAAAAGTGGTATTGCATATGAACTTTTAAATAACTGAGCAAAAATTAATACATTAGCTTAGCTACCACTATAATAAATTTTTGTAAGAAGCGTAAAAAGTTGGCAGTCCTGCAAATTAGTTGCTATTTCTCAAGTAGGTAAAGCCATAATTAACTTACAGTGCAGTTAAGTAGATCGACACCAGTTAACTAATACTGCTAATGAATTCATGAGTCAATAGCAGGGATGCCACAGGAGACTGACTATTTATGTAAAAAGTGGTAGGAAATAAGTTTACTTTAATTTTTTTATTATCTCTTAAATTACTCAATCGTATCTACCTCAGTCTACATTTCATATTATTCATATACAAACATGTTTTGCATTCACTTTTATTAGTAAGCAGGAAAAAATATACCATAAAAAGTTTCTAATTTTAATTTTTCAAATAAAATTTTGGATTTTATTAGACAGCACTTTTTGCATTTTAATCGCCTGTGGTAACGCTGAATAGTTGGAAGACAGTTTTATGCTATCACTATTGGAATAGTCCTTAAAAAAAATGAGGCGTGTTTATGATCGTGCGAATACTGGATTTTTGAAGCTGATTTGATACTGATTTAAGGGAGGAATGTTCGGTAAGTAGCTGCTATTGATTGATGGCATGGCACCCTGGAATCTCGGAAAAATGCTTTAACAAAATCATAGAATCATCACTACCAATATTTTATTTTAAAACCGTCGTATAACAGCCGAACCAATCTCTGGGTTTACGACTGCTGATGCTCAACTCTGTAGCCTTGAAATTTTTAATCCGATTCAGAAAGCAAGGAAGCTCCTGGATCAAATAATGGGAGAAATTTGTATTCGTGGAGGACTTTTTGATGGAAAAAACCCTTTCACTCGAAGTAGTCCTTTTAACAGTCAAAGAAATGGACGCAATTATTAGCATTTTGAACGAGTTTTCACAAACTTACCTCTGAATGAAGTGGTAACCAAACATTAAGATGAAAAATTTTTTACAATTAGAGTGGTGGTTATTTACAGGCGACAGTGGTGACTGACATTCACTTCTCGAGTGGAAAGGGTTAGCGCGCATTTGTGTTACAATTAGATTAAAACCACGTAAACCTGCCACGGTCAGCCTTACGGCAAGAGAGCTCTACCCCATAATCCGTCTACAACTGAACGTTTTTTACGTAAGCACATAATGGTAGCATATAGCATCACCTCCTACATCATAAAGCCTCCACATGGTTTCTTATGAGTAGTCTGAGTAGATTATTTAAAAAGCGAACCACTTGTGCGCATGAACCCAAATTCTATTATAAAAGTACTCGAGAGAAATTTATCATATATATTTGAGAATTGAATCTTTAGTGGTTGACAAGTAAATACAACAAACCAATTATATTCATAAATGAAACAAATTTTTAGACATATATTTGCTACCTTCTAACTTTTAATAGATTTCATATTGAATGGTTCTTTCACTAATAGGTTTATTTTTATAGTGGTCTGATCGGACAAGAAACCGTGTGGAGGCTTTCAGTGATAGGAAGCGTTGTATATAGTCGGTGCCATTTCTACCAGTAATCAGTTCAAAATTTGCGACAGAAGGAGTAGTTTACATTTTGCTACCAATTGGATATTTGCAGCAGACCTTAGGGAACTTTCTGGATGACTCAATGCGTAGATAAAGCAAAAATATTTGATACATAGATTAAGCTTCACATTACTTAGTAACATTTTGGCAAAACATTAGGAAAAATAATGCTGGGAATAAAATTTTTATCACTAAAAATAATTAAAATTTGTTACTTCGTGATAGAAGACACATCGTTCTCCTGGATGGTTATAAAATAATTATTAATTTGTCAACATATATTTGAAACAAAATACTTTTTACTTCTTTCGCTGGCAACATGTTTATAACTTCAAAATTTAGAATAAGCTTTCCATCACAGAGAAAAGATACATGTTACAACGTCTGGGGCAATGTAATGAATAAAAGCTTGATTATAATATAAGTTAAGACATCTGTTACAAAGTAACATGTATCCTATGACAATTTGAAACACGTTACGAGGGTTTTACAAACAGGTGTTACGAAACTGAGAGACCTAAAAATCACAATTATCCGTCAAATGATAATCCTGATTGGCATTTGAATAGAAGTAAAGAGGTTCTATCCTGAAATGTACAAGAAATAAAAGCCTTCATAATGCACTGCCAAACTTAACGCTTTTTTCAGGTTTTCAGAGAAATAGCACAAACTATTTTATTTCATTTTAATCTGAATAGAATAATTCAGTGATTCAGATTTGTCGATATTGTACGAATTCGTAGTCAAATTTCGCTCAATAGTAACAAACTTTATAACATAATGCTTGATGATTGGTTTCTTAAATTTGAATTAAGGTGAATTTCCTTATCATGAAATATTAAAACAAAAAACAAACAGAACGTGCATTACATTGTTAAAAATAACGCGGAATTCGTAGATAAATTTTGATCGAATGATCAAGTACTACCATACAATCCTAATCATGTGATAGGAAAATTTTTATTATTAATTCGTAGATAACTTTTGATCTAATGATCACGTACTACCATGCAATCGTAGTCATGTGAAAGGAAAATTTTAATGAGGCTAATTAAATTGTGTAAATGACATTTTAAGTTTCGGAATTCGATGCAAAAATCTGACACCTCTGCAAAAAAAGAAACCCGTTTATTTTGATGAATTTTGGTATCTATATCTTAAAAAAACTGGTTGAGGGTAACCAAAATGAGAGAAATTTGGTCCACAAAAATCAGGACCGGGGAGCTGTCGAGAGTGTTTTTTGATGTAAATGGGTCACCGGTGTCACCGGTGTAAATGGGTATTTTTTCCTGACACTCTAATTACAAACAGAAATATTTTTTGTATTGATATTTTTAAAAACAATTTAATAGTTACTAAAAAATCTGTTAGAATATCGAAATCATATTTGTACTGAAATATAAAATCCAAAAAAAGTAGTAGGTAAAAAAGTTTTCTTTTCATTCATTATAATTTTTTTTCGAATATTGTTGAATATTACACTTTTAAACTTAAAATAAGTCGAGATTTTGTCTTTAAATTTGAAAATTTTGTTAAATTTGAAAGTTTGTCGAATTTTGTTTTGAAAATTGTTTTTGTCTTTAAAAGAATAAAAAGTAGTTTTTAGTCAAATTATTTTTAAAAAATTTCTACAAATACGAACAGATTTTCTAAACCTTCTATTTTCTCATAATGTTGAATATTATGTTTTTCAATCGAAAAAGAGTTTTATTTTTGGGCCATTTAAAAAAAAATAAAAAAATGGCTCTTAGTCAAAATAATTCGAAGTTTTATTTATAAAAACTATATTTTTTACCCAATTTTCTTCTTCGAATTTTAAATGCTATTTTTTTCAATATAAAATAATCAAGATGCTGTTTTTGTTTTCTTTTTAGTTTTACAAAATAAAAAATAGTTCTAAGCTAAAATATTTCTATATTTTTTTATTGCTCTAAAACAAAGCTTCTCGATCTTAATTTTTCGTTTTATAATGTTGAAGTATGTATTTTTCAATGTAAAAAATTTCACGTTGGTTTATTTTGTTTTCATAGAAATCGGGAATTTTCTTATTTAACCAGTTAAATATCTGGGAATGTTTGTTGCTCAAACCAATTTTTACTTCAATCACAAAAAAACAAAAATAACCCTCTTGAATAATATTCAATGTAAGTTTTAAATGTCTTTTATGTTTAAAAAAAAACTCGATATTTAACATAACCGTTATGATATTTAACATAATCATTATGAAATTGAACACTAACAGAGGGCATGGCATAACAATCATGGCAGGAAGAAAGAATATTGTTTTTTGAACTATTTTACAACCAATTATCAGAAGACGTGAAAATAATTCTATATTCTTATTCAGATTTTATACTCTAATAAAATAATTCTAATTTTTTATTTGCCCCTGTCTAATTTGAAATAAAAATCAAGGAAGAACACTCAAAGTTAGTGTGGATTAAATTCAAAACTAGATGTTAAGATTAAAGTGATAGCGTAAACAATTTTGTTGCAATGAACATATTCATATTGGCGCAACTGATTAATGATATTACAATATATCATATATTGTCCTAAAAATATCATTAACCTGGTTCTTTCTTTCACTAAGCTCTTCATGTCAATACTTTATGAATTAAAATATTTTTATACAGGAAAAGAGGCAAACCTCGATACTTTAATATATTTGTGCCCACCTATATACATGTTATTTTAAAAAGGAAGTATACTGATGATTGACAAATAATACCAACACATCTATACTAGCTCTATGTAAACAATCTTTCTACTAGCAGCAGATGCTTAGGTAGAATTTACATTTCCAAAGAGTTGACATAATTTGAAAAAATATGCTTAAACTTTTTTTCAAAAATGCTTCCAACCCATTCAAAATTTCGATAAACCAAAATGGGGACAGGAATTTGATGACTTTATTACTAGCTTTCATATTAGCAATTTTGAAATCAGGTATGCCACGGGCAACTTAAANCCACAAGCTCGATCCACACAAACAAGAGATGGCTTAACTGTCGATAAACGCACACACAATAATACACTAATCTATATCATGATCCATCAAAACACTGCCTCAACTACTACTCATAATAAAAATTGGTAAAACACACAACACAACATAAACAAAACATACATATCACACAATCAACCACGGACTAGCTCACAATAGCAGCCAACGGGACTGATCACCACACACGCCACACCACTGACCCTGCTCCCAGTCCCCGGGGACAGACAGTGAGTCCGGAGCTTTTCCGCTACCCGTGATGGCCATTTATGGTAAATGTAAAAAAAAAATAAATAGAAAATAAATAAAATGAAAAAATACCCGTGACGTGACTAGCTATTTTATATTGTACTGTTATTGTCGATGTCCATCCTTTGAGTCTGTAATGTAACGTTGCTAGTTTTTCTATGTAAAATTAAATTGTCGCTACTAGGACGGGATAGCCTGGTCAGTGGGGTGCCGGGCCCATGTCCAAGAGTTAGTGGGTTCGGTCCCCGCCGGTCGAAGACTCCCCGTGTAGTAAATGGTGACTGGTGCACGTTAAATCTGTCGAGTCTCAAAGTCCTCCATGTTCCCATAACAAATCAATACCTCTGGGGGTACCGATCCAGGAGTTTCCTTGTCTTCAGGATTGGTTTAAAATTACAAGGCTACGGCGTTGAACATTAGTGGTCGTAAACCCAAAAATTGGGTCGAGTGTTCAACGGCGGTCATAAAATAAAAAATGAAAACTTTATGAATTAAAATATTTTTATATAGGAAAAGAGGTAAACCTCGATACTTTAATATATTTGCTCCCACCTATATACATGTTATTTTAAAAAGGAAGTATACTGATGATTGACAAATAATACCAACACATCTATACTAGCTCTATGTAAACAATCTTTCTACTAGCAGCAGATGCTTAGGTAGAATTTACATTTCCAAAGAGTTGACATAATTTGAAAAAATATGCTTAAACTTTTTTTCAAAAATGCTTCCAACCCATTCAAAATTTCGATAAACCAAAATGGGGACAGGAATTTGATGACTTTATTACTAGCTTTCATATTAGCAATTTGTAAATCAGGTATGCCACGGGCAACTTAAAATGTATAAAGTGATAGAAGCTCAATTCATTTTAATTTATTTATAATCTGCTTAATTATTCAATAGTATTTATCACCATAACTTAGATTAGAACCGTGGAGGCTCAGGGTATAGAGTGCTCGCCTTCCAATGAAGCAGGGGCGGATCTTCTTAAGGGCTTTTTGGGCTGCAGCCCAGGGCCCCGTTGATAGAAAGGGCCCCAGTCCCCACTGAAAACAGTAGGTGATATTTTGAATTAAAAAAAAATCTAATATTAAAAAAAAACTTGGTCAGTGTATTTTTTCGCGTCTATTACGGGAGACTTCCCGCCGCGCCGCTTAACGCCCGCCGTAATTTTGTTTTTTTCCCCGCACTTCTGTTCTCGTCGTCAAAGTGACAAACTTGTTTAGTTTACTAATAAATGATAACTCAAAAGTTTTAAAGACCTTTCTCTTATTTTACTTATAATTGAAAGTACATAATCAGTATAAGAAAAGATTTCCTGCTCTTAGTTGGTAAGTAAAAAGTTATAAATAATGTTCTTTTTTGTTTTTAATGTATTTTTTTAATACTAAATGAACTTTTTAATCTATTTTTAATGATAATTTGTGAATTACTGCACTCATTATTGTTACAATCACTATTGTAGTGCAAAAAATATGCACTCATTATTGTAATGCACTCATTAGTGTATTTCAAAAAATATACGTTTTCTTTTCTACTTCGACCCATAGGTGGGAACTGTTAAATCGTGAAACAAAACTCAAATTTACGTTAAAAAGTTTAAGCCAGACCAGATGGTCTTGTCACTATGATGCTGTCAAAGCTTTGAAAAAAAATTACGATGGCAGTATGAAAATTTTCGAAAGTTTCAGCTAAAATGAGGATGAGAAAGTTGATTTCCGGAAAGAGGCACGAAATTTATTCAATAAAATGGCGAAACTTGATAGTGCAATTTTAATTATTTTTTGGGAAGAAATTTTGGGGAGATTTAATTTAGTTAATAAAAAAATACAGAGCCCTGGTTTAGATATTTGTGAAGGTAACAAGTTAATTGTGTCATTAAAGGACTTCGTGAGCAGTAAGGTACCAATCAGATCAGAAGCTAAAGGAATACGAAGAGAAAGCTAAAAAATTAAGTACTAGTGTGGGAATTGACTACAATGACATAAACAAAAGATGCATTACTCCAAAATTTTCAGATAAGTCTACAGATAAATTCTCAGTATACGGGGCAGAAAAATTTAAAAGAGACACGCTAAACGTTTCGTTGGATAAGCTGATTATGGATTTAAATAAAGGGAGCCAAGTCTATGAGATGTATAGCAAGAAGTTCAAATTTTTAATGGATTTGCTAGACAAAAATATGGAAAACATAGATCTGGAAAGTGTACGAAATATTGTTGATTATTATCCAGATGACGTAGACGAGCATTTAGTGAATGAGTGCATTCAGTTAAACTCTTATTTACTTCAGTCTAAGCCAGAGTCTTATATCTCTTGCAGTGAAATTTTTATGCTAATTTATGAAAAGAAACATATTGATGTTTTCCCAAATTGCTATACTATCTTAAAGATTTTTTTAACGTTGCCAATCACTAGCTACGAAGCTGAGGGCTCTTTCTCCAGGATGTCATATATAGAAAACAAATATACAACAATGTCGAACCATCGATTAAACCATTTATCAGTTCTTTCCATTAATTGTGATTTAACGAAGGACTTGCAATGTGATGAGCAAATAAAGGAATTTGCGGCGCAAAAATGCAGAAAGGTTGCTTTTTAATTTATATAATAAAACTACACATAACCAACCAATTTCTTTTGCAATAATGTTGTACAGTTGCTGTTTGTATATACAAATAAAAATAAATAAATAAAAGAAAATTTTATTGTCCTATTTTTTTCTATATACTTATCTACATCACTATAGAAAACAGTTTTTTGACAAAATGGCTATTAGGATCCCTAAGTAGTTTCAGCCCAGGGCCCCACAAAATCACTATCCGCCCATGCAATGAAGTGATACGGGCTCGAATCCCAGCGATGGCTGGTCGATGCGAATTCCGCTCCCGGCTTGCACCGACCACAATGCTGATGTGAAATATCTTCAGTGGTATACGAATCATGGATTAAGAATCCCTTTGCAGTCAGGCTAACTGTGGGAGGTTTTCCCCTCTATGCAACTCAAATGCGTGTTAGTTCCATCAAAAAGCCCTCAAATGCAACGAAAAGCAAAAAATTTCTCCCAATACTTGAACCAGGATTTTCCTTGTTTTCTGGATTAAGTTCAAAACTATATTGAACTTAAGTAGTCGTAAGCCTAATATTGGGTCGGCTGTTCAATGACTGTTCCAAAAAATAACTGACATTCAATAATAGTAATATTTAAATCAAAACTTTCACTCCCAGTAAGCTGAAAAGTATGTGTTACAGAAAATTGCTGATTTTAGTTTCTTTAATTAAAATTTTGAAATTGATCAGTCACCACTTTTTGCATTTTCTGTTGTTTGTGGTATGCTAAATCTGTAAGATCATAAAATTTCTGTTAAGTTACTTTTAGAATCATAGAGTAAACAAGAAAAATATCTTTGAACTTTTAACGTTTTTTTTTAGAAGCAAATTTCAAAATACAATAGTAGAGTTTTGATCCAATGATTTTTATTCAAACTCCGTAGTGGTAGATAAATAAATATTAACCCCAACTTCTTATTAATATATAATAAAATAGTTCGGATTTCATTTTTTCTTCTTACACTAGTTATGCTGTTGTGAAAAGGTCACAAACCAAGGTGTACCAGGGGTGACTAATAAAATGCACAAAATTTTAAAATTACCAACTTTTTCAAGCGTATTTATTTCAATTTCCTAATGAAAGTGTATAAGAAGAATATTTTCGTAAAAAAATCGAATGAGAAGTATATTTTCAAATTAAATATGAATAATTTGCGAGTCACGATGGGAGTAACGATTGAATAAGTAAATAGATTAATGGATGGAGTCTCGATCACTTCTGACATATCCATGTCATATTAAAATGCAATTAATATGCATTTTAATTGAGACTTTTATTCAATCATGTCAGAATAAAATACCATAAATGTACCACTCTTCTTAAAGTAGTTTGTAAATTTTACTGAAGGAATTTTTAATTTTTTCAAATTAATTGATATTATCAGAGATGCCAACTTGCTCCGGACAGCAAATAGATATTTTAAAGTGGTAGTTTATCAATTGTGATTTTGGATTTAATAAATTCGATTTAGTATATTTTACTCCACCACTATTTCTAAATAATTCGTAGGCTTATGTAATTCACCATTTTATAGTACTTATGTCATGCTATATCATTTAATAAGCAAGCAAAAATAGTTAAATGTTTGCAAAATTTAATTTTTAGTTATTTACCGTTTATTAATTTATTTTGACTTGTCCGGAGCAGTTTGCATCTCTGTAATATGCTGGCAATATTATTAATAATTTTTTATTTAAAAAAATGCTGGTAGCAAAAATATTTCATTTCTTCTTTTTATTCAAAAGTAATTATTTATCGGTGATATATAATTTATGAAATAACATTCCCAAAAATAATTGTTTACATACATTTAAAAAAAGTTATAGTCAAGAATGGTTTATAACTTTTGCATAAAAAAAAAGATTTAAAACTTTGTTACTCTGGTACAGAAGCAATTTACTGCCATATACAAATGACGATTTTCCATCGTTTGGAAGGTTATGTGTGAGAAATAAAATAGAGTCAAATTAAAACGGTGATTAGTGAAAGCTAGCTCTAAATAAATCTTGTCTCGTGTGATTGTGGAAATTATGTAAGAAGAACAACACAAAAAGAAACTTTTTTATACACATTCATTAAAAACCTCATTTAAATACATTTACATTGAGCAACAAACCATGTTTATGTACAAATGATATATAAATGCAAAGCATCCTTTTACATAGTTGTAGTTCTCGTGGATTTTTCTTAAAAACTTAGTTGGCAAAAATAATTTGCAGATTCTCGATAGAAATTATAGATATTGATGCCATATACAAGAAGCATACGTCTGTGTGCTAAAACAGGGTATCTGTCATGGAAGAAAAATCTCAAATAAAATCATCTCTTACAAGTTCTGTTAATAACTACTTCTTTATACAATTAATGTTCCGCTATCAGGTAAATAGTTATTTAATTCGCTTCGAAAGTTATTATATTAACTAGTCGATTCATGAAGATTTTCTTCGATTTTTCATAAGGGATAGAATTTTAAGAAGCATTTAAAAATACAAATATTTGTCAGCAGTACAGAATCACTATTTATTTTTTTACGCTGGTTTGCGTATAATTGGTGTTTAAATAATTGGTGTTTAAATAACGGGAAATCATTTAAATATTTGTATTGAAAAACTATCAAATTGAGGAATATGCTAAAGAAAGACGATTAAGTTACACCTTATTTATTCCTTATTGCTGCAGCGTTTATCAATTTGTTAATTTTTACCATTAAAGAACAGGTTTCGACATAAATAAGAAATTTTAAGTAACCAGGACCTATTTTTAGCAGTAAACATGTTATGGAAAGTACCGTAACAGTTTTTTTTTTGCTTTATTGTAAATGCTACTAAAATATCGGATGGCAGTTGCAATTCTTTTAAACACTTACGAATTGCAGACTTTGCTTCAGAGAATATTTTACTGTTTGAAGAAAATTAAAATTTAAAATTTCATACATTAAGCGCTACTATTTTTATACAATTTGTGTTTCACGTATACGCTTTTTGGAAAATCAGTTGGTCACGTAACGTTTAAAAATTATCTTGAAGATTCTATTATTAGAAAAAAAATTTAACGCTTGAGATTCTTATGGCTCTCTTATAAGCGTAAAATTCTATTTTTATTTATATCACCATTTTTTATTTTTAAAGTGTTCTTATCCCCAAGGTTGAAGCTCGGCTGAACCAAATATATTGTAAATAATTGCAGTGACGAAGTAGACACAAGATGTGGTGATGAACACAATGCTCCAGTTGTGTAAGGATTGCTGAAGGAGAAAAAAAATATTAAAATTACTACTCATTTAAACATATAGCTCATTAATTTATACGACTTTAATTATCCTTACGAAACTTTAAACAAATCATTTTACTTGGCCAAAATTCAGTTTTCATTAGTAAAGAATCAAAATTTTGTGGTTAGAAGTGTAGTTATTCTTAATGCAAGCTTTTCGGATTCCGTGCAAAAGTCATATATTTGTTTTAGATGGCAGTAAAAAGTTTTATGTAAATATTAAAGTGATTCATGATTTTTAATTACATAGAAAATAATTAAAAAATGGTTCCATAGTTGTTGTAACCTCTGCAGGCCTGATATGATACGCCCCAAGCATGGCCTGGGAGTTGTTTTATAATATTCGTATTCACTTTGGAATTAAAAATTTAATTCATCAACCTTCAGATCTATTTATATTTATCTAAAATTATTTGCAACCTTTGGTAGAAAAAGAATATTTTTTATCTTCATATTACTACCACTATTCACATTTCCTGGTACGTTGAAAATTTGAAATCGTGATTGTAAATTTCATCATGACAGTTGGCCTATTAATTTTTATGGATGCTTTAAAGATTTATTCTAAAAAGCAGTAATATTAAAAGGCCGTAACCCTCTCGGTTCTAATGGAAATAAATATTCTATAGACTTGGTTCCTTAAGGGCTTCTTGTTAATTTCTCAACATCGAATTAAACTACCTTTCAAAATCAAATTCACTGAAATATCGGGTTGAAAGGGCTTCTTGTTAATTTCTCAACATCGAATTAAACTACCTTTCAAAATCAAATTCACTAAAATATCGGGTTGAAAGGGTTAATCTAAATCAATAACAAGCCCTTTTTTATGTTTTTATTCAATTAAAGAGGTAAGCTGTTTGAAGAAAAAAAAGGAATAAAAATAGTTATATTCACCTTAATATGTACACTTTAATCCACAATAAATTAATAGATACTGCATAATAATTTACATACACCTTTTCATTTCGGGTTTCTTGTTTTAAAAATTCTTGAAGTTTGATGAATTATATTAAGAGAATGCCATGCCTATCTTAAATAAATTTAGGCGCAAATACTTTGTGTCATTTCTTCACTGTAAACTGATGATTCAACATATATTTAGAAAATTAAAAAAAAGAAAGAAAGAGACTTGCTTCAAAAATGGACACATTGGCATTTAACCCTTTTGAAGGCCGTGGTAAGTATACTTACCACCACGCTTTACCACTTTTAATTTAGGTTTTCATTTTTCAATAACTTCAGCTTTCTTGAAGTGAGTTTGAATAAAATTGGTAACCATTTGTCACTTTTAAAAAACGTATAAAAGTTATAAAATACATAATTCCCTTTGAAGTATGTAGCATTTAAGGAATTTATTTTATAAATAAAGAAAAATAAAAGTCAGTAAGTTCCTAATAGGTCATGTTATATATCTTTACCACCAAAAAAATGGCGTTTTTATAAACTAAATGGGTTTTTTTTATCAATTATTGTTCTTAAAACAATTTCAATTCCAAAAATACTTTAATTTACCGTTACTAGAAATAAAGGGCCCATTAAAGGGTTAAATAGTTAAAATACTCACTGACCCGTTTTCAGATCAAATTACAGATATTTCAGATCAAAATATAAATTATGGTGAATAGGAATGTTTGGTTTTTCCACAATAAATTTCGAATATAAAATAGTGGAACTACTAGCGTTAAACATTGATAGAAACGGTTTGCCTAAAGTTGCTTGATGGCAGTTTCAAATTTACTCTACATTTCTTTTTATACTTTTAAATGTAACGCTTTTTTATTGTCCTTGTTATTGTCTTTCTTAAAACTATAGTAATTTGTTATTTTTTCGCATAATAATCTTTCATAAAACTTGAAAACTATACATACACCACTTTCAGTCACTTTTCCAACATATGCTGGAGCTAGGAAACCGGAAAAATTAGCAATGCAGTTTGTAATGCCCATCAATGTGCCTGTAATAATCAAAAATTCATTTATTTATAACTTTTCTTACGTAACCTTTTCTTAAAATAAAACAACATTATAAAGCATAAAGAATACCAAATTCCCCGTCTTTTAGAAAAATTTAATTTTACATATTTGATTCTGAGTTAAATTAATGCAAAGAAAAATTGATTTTTTCCCCCTACAAAAAATTAATTTTAAGCTACGTTGCGCAAAAAATAGACGGATCACCTTGAATAACTTTTAATCTAATAATCAGATCTTCAGCTTGTAGGACACGAACTTAATAGGAAGCCTCAAATAGGCTAATTAATTAGTTTAGACGTTATTTTAAATTACAGAAATAGATGCAAAAATGTGTGAATAATCATACTTTTTTCGACGTATTCAAATTTCTGACCCCCAAATTATAAGAGGTTGCCGTAATTTGGGAAATGTAGCCATTTAGTATGGTCAGGAGAGTTATCCAAAATTTCGACCTTGCAATGTAACTTTTATTTATTTCTTTTTTTCAGAATTTCACCATATTTCAAAAACTTTCTAAGCGAATTCATAATGTTTTGCACACAATTCTAAAATTTGTTTTTCCAAAGAGAATTAAATATAGAAAATAACTTTGAGCAAATACTTAATATTTTTTTATTATTTTAATTAGTAATTATCGAAATTTTTTTTAATTGTAATATACATTGCAATTTTAGTAATGTAATTCTTACATCTTTTTAAAGAACGTAAATTTGCATGCTAAAATACAAAACTTGAGCAAAATCAGTCTAGTTGAACCTGGGAAATCGAATTTTAAAAATATTTTTAAAATTTAACTTCTCAGGAACTATTTGACCGACTTTGCTGAAATTTTGATGTTTTGTATGTAAAAAAGGTGTGTTTATTTTAAGAAAATACGTTTTTTGTCTGATTTCGTAACATAAAATATCTTCTGCGCTATTAATTTATCATGTCTGAGGTTATTCCCTCGAATAATTAAGATTGAGTCCTAGAATGTAAAATAGTTTTTTAGAGTAGTCCGTTTTTTTTGACATTGTACTTACAAAATGCTGTTTAAATAGTTTTTTTTTTCCAATTTGAGCTCAGTGCATAACAACAATACAAGTTGCATATGTTACTTGGATATTGCTGGAAAAAATTACTACTTAATACTGTTACTTAAATACTGTTAGGCAACTTAAAGAATGTTCAGATTTCTCAAACTTCAGTTATCAAGTTTGAATAAACTCAACTTTTAGATTACTCAAATTTCAACGTTCAAGTTTCAATTTACTCAACTTTTAGACTACTGGAGTTCTTTCACTGATGCTAATACATGCTGCAACAGTTTCCTAAATGATATTAGAAAATATTTTCGCCATTTTAATGATTTTCAAAATTTTGAAGACTTCACGATTCACAATTTTAAACGATTTTACATTCTCAGCAATCTTTCTGAAAAATTCTGCATCTGTTTTAGAAGATGCTGAGACCAATACACTCAGTTACCATGCAGCTCATAAGAACTGTTCTAGATTCAGACGCGCTGCAGCAAGTATTGATTGAAAAATAATCTAAGCAGAGGGCATTATCATTTTCTTACACAGACATTTAATGAATGGCGTCTTGACGATTTTTAACTCTTACCTGAGAATTCTGGGCTCATATCGACGTGAGTGACATTAAATCCAGAATACATGAATCCATTGACTCCCAGGGCCACAGTGAGTAAAAAGAGTATCGGTAGTGGATCACAGCCAAAAAATATAATTGATAGCAGGCAGATAGAAGCTCCAAAGAATGCTATGAAATAGAAGGAAAAATATCAACATGAGTTTCAATGCTGAAAATTTTTATAATTTGAAGCTTATAGATCAAAATTTATGGTTTAAAGTTTATGGTCTAAAGTTTATAGGTTAAGGGTTATAGTTTATAGTTTAAGTTTTATAGTATAAAGTTTATAGTTTAAAACTTATAGTTTAAGGTTTATAGTTTAAGGTTTATAGTTTAAAGTTTACAGTTTGCAGTTTAAAGTTTATAGTTTAAAGTTTATA